GAGCTCGTTGCACCTGGCTGGAAGTGACACAACGGGGGGGAACATGCTGGGAGCGTGGGTGACAGCTGGTGGGAGTATGTTTAGCCCTGTGGCGGGGATAGCGCTGGATCTAACGGAGCCGATTTGTTTGGGGCCAGAGACTGCGGCTTGGCACGTCCCAGGGTCACGCTGAACCCAGCACACTGAGTAGCCCACTTTGTGTCAGGTGCTGTATGTGCAAATCATGCCGAAGCATCAATGCACTAATGTCCTGAGTGGGGCCAAGGGGCAAACAAATCTGACTGATGTTGTCTGTGTCGTTACATTGCTAAATTCACCCACGTGTCTCGTGCTAAGGAAGTGCCTTTAAAATCTCAGAGCACCCAGCACATCACCCTCTTTGCTAACACACCCTGGCCCCCATGCAGGACCCCTCCCCCTGCCAGCACAGACGGGGGGACACTGCATGCTACAGCCCATCCAAACGCAAACCTGTTACCCCTTTTGGTCCAAGTGGTTAGCCAGTATTTGGGACTTTGTGCGTCATTTCCATTAGGAGGAGAGACTGATGTTAGAGTCAGGTATTTCTTTGGTGCAATCCTGTCTAGTAAAAAGACTGGCCACAAAGTCCTATTTCCCTATACAAAGCAGAACCGAACAGCAGACAGTTTCTTTGCACAGAAACCCAAGTCTGCATTTCCAGCCGGCACTGTGCCCAAACAGAAGCCCTGTCGCTCAGCTTCCTGTCAGGGCCATGCTCACTCCTGCTTGTCTTGCGTGCTGATGCTGGCACACACACGTAGCTGCAAGCAATCAATCCCCTAGCTAGCCCCTGTGTTTTACAGTCAGTCTCAGGGAAACCTCTTAGCCCCACATAGAATCACAGAAGTGTAGGGCTGGGAGGAACCTTGAAAGGTCACCAAGTCCACCCCCGGCACTAAGGCAGGACCCAGACACCTACACCATCCATGACAGGTGTTTGTCCAGCCTGTTTTTAAAAACTTCCACTGATGGGGATTCCACAGCCTCCCTTGGAAGCCTGTTCCAGCGATAACATTGCCTGCTATTCACCGGTTCTTAATTCCGCAAATCCTCTGGACCTTATTGG